AGTCATGTTGAAGCATGGGGATGTTGATATATGAAACACTCCAGACACTTTTATTAGTCTGACTGTCACAGCCTCACTAACTAAAGGGCCACCCCCATCCCAAAGCATGTGTAAAAATGCCCAGAGAGTCCACTAGTACCCTAGGCCAGAAGTTCCCAAACTCTGACAGATTGTGCACTGCTAATTTAAAATGATACAACCTTAAGTACTACCAGAAAAATTTTCAGTTCAACCTTAAGTACCCCAGCAAATTTTTGTCATATAAAGTAATTATAATAAATTTGTTAACATGTACCACTAACAGGTTGTCTGCATACCTCTAGTGGTATGTGTACCACAGATTGAGAACTGCTGCCCTAGGCAGTCTATTCCACTGCCTCACTGTTAGAAGAGTGAACAAGTGAACAAGGGGAATATCCACCATCAGGCCATAATCAAAGGACTGGTCTGCTCACTCCACTGAATATTCAAGTATTTTATAGTAGGCATTCAGAGGAGTCAGGTTTGAAACTCAGGACTCAGTCAGACGTGAGTTGCCCAAGGTGATACAATGAAGCAGTGATAGAACAAGCATTTAAGGCAGGGGTCAGCAACCCCCGGCATGTGTGCCAAGCATGGCACACAAGACCATTTTGTTCGGCACACCACCGCTGGCCCAGGCTCCAAGCAGCTGCTGCCAGCCACAGAGCCCAGGCTGCTCCCAGCAGGCAGCTGGGAGGCTGCAAGCCCTGCTGCAAGCAGACCGGGCTCCGTGGGATGACTGCAGCCAGGAGGCTGCAAACAGCTGCTTCAGGCTCTGGCACATCAGCACTCTGGCACCTTCCAAGGTAGACATTGTGGTTTCTTTGGCACTCCAGCCAGAAAAATGTTGCCTACCCCTGGTTTAAGGTCAGGGTCTTCTGTCAACTAACTGTGCTTACCTACCTTATTGCAATGGTTACTAAGTATCTACAGCCTTCCTTCATTTCCAAAGCAGCCTGGAAACTAGGATTACAGCATTAGCATCCAGCTGTGAAAGATTTGGGTTAGGTGATTTGCCTAGTATCATGTAGGAAGTTAGTGACAGGCTTAGACTCCATTTCTCTTGCACAACATTCATCACCTCAGCCGTTAAATCATCCTTTCCCTTCCTGCAACCCTTTGCCTCAGCTGCTACATATCTTCTAACTTCTAAAGCAAATGACACAGGGATCCTAGAGACAACAGATTCTTAGAATACATAACTCACACCCCAAAATGTCAATTCACTACTTGAGCAACTTGCTGGTATATCATCAGGCACCCAAGAAAACCACAAAACCACAACTGCAAGAGTTTGCCATAGTCTGGTAAACGTCACCACCAACTCCTTGACACCATCCCAGGTCAGCCACTTCCTTCACCTGAAAGGGGATTACCCCCTAGGATCACCATGTCCCCTTCAAATCAGCATGAATGAGCTTGAACTTTCTTTGAGCTCAGCACAGCTTTATGAGTTTTGAGGGCTGCATTTATCTCAAGCAGCTGCATTGTTTTGGATCCCCAGGGGGCTCTGGCATTCCCAGTCAGTTTTTCACTATATCAGGGAGATTATTGGTTATCTATGCTAGGAGGGTCCCAGCCTTGGAAAAAAGTAGTAAAGGCCCTTGGAGAGTGGTGCAGTAGTCATGCCTGAGGGCACTGGTACTACATCTTCTTTTTACTACTCACTCTCTGTCTTCTGAATATTAACATGCTCAAACTTAAAAGAATCATAATAGAGTGCTACTGGCTACCTATATACATGCTTAGAGGTGGGGAGGAGTGTTTTAATTAAAGTTCCTGGACAGCCGTTCTAATTGAAACAGCTCACTGTTACATGTAGTAAGCTCCCCCTCCCCCGCCCCGTGTTTCAAAATGGTCGTGGGGGCACTTTAACTGAAGCTCATTCAACAAGTTTTACTTAAAGTGCCCCCATAGCCATTTTGAAACATGGGGGGCTTAATATACATGATGGTGAGGTGACGCTGGAGTGTTCTAATTAGAACATGAATTATAATCAAGTCTGCTCTGATGCATTCTAATCAGAACATGAACCAGCATGTCTAGAGGCAGCCAATGGTTCCAGACTGCTCCTTGATTAAGCATATGTAGACATAATGGGTGCATCTACACATGCAATTAATGTGAAACAATACATTCAGGAGCAGTTTGAGTTGAAGTAAACTACTCCTGGGCACAGCATCTACAAGTGCACCCAGGACAGCAGCAATCTGAGCCAGGGTGGAGCAGGCCTGGGCTGGCAGGAGACATGGGGAGTTCAGCTCCAGGTGGTAGCATCAGGCAGCAGAGGAGCTGGCTGGGGCATGAGGGTGCTGAAGAGTGGAGCCATGTGGCTAGCTGGGAGGCAGGAGTCTAGCCCCCAGGTGGCTAGGCAGGCAGGACACAATTTATGCATCTAATCATAGTTAATTACTCCTTACAGTACTACCTTACTGTAGAGTTAATTACTTTACTGCAGCTAATACCTCCACACCTGTAGATGGTGGTGTTTTGCTGCACAGTTAATTAGCCTACTCCTTGGTAAAGCACTTGTGTAGATGCACCCACTGCCTGTCAAATACAGGTAAATTGTGCCTTCTCCTTCCTAATTGTGAGTACAAGTCATTACCTCTGCACAAGCCAGTCAGCAGCCTGGATTTTCCAAGGTTCTCAAGCTCCCTTACTTTGGTAAAGGGGCTGTTCATTATTTTCATATATTTTGAAAGAGTAACCAGTGGCTTGATGGGGAAGGGGGGAGAGTTTGGTGTATATTTTGGGTCACCTCTCCTAATTCAGGACTTTTGGTCTAAACTTATATAAGCTGGACAGGAGGAGGGAGCTTATGGCTACACTGTTAGTTGAATGCAAGTTACTCAAGTGAATCCCACCGCTTCTTTCCATGTAAACACTAACATACTATATTAACCAAGAGTCTCCCACAGTTTCAGTAATATAGGCCTACAGTCTTGAGCAGGAAGTATTAGTTTCTTTTGCTTACTAGTAGAGCTGGCTGAAAGTGCAAAAAAAAATTTGCAAAAATTTCCATCAAACAAAATTGCCATTTATCTGACAGATATGTTGTGACCCACTCTGGAGACAATTGGAAAATGAATACCACCCCCACACCAAGGTTCTTCTATGGATATTTAATACAATGTTCTGCCTAGCTAGCTGCCTTGATGTGAAGCCTCTTGTTTCTATGGAATCAGTAAGAAAGTCCCAGATTACTTTTCTTAATATCCATGACCGACAAAAATTCTGGAAAGCAAAGCTTTTTACCTTCAGAAGGCAGTTGATAGCAACAAAAGGCATGCATTTAACAGTGCTCCTGAGAGGGTCCAAGCCACCTCCTGCCTTAACCAGGGGAATACACTGTGCAATGAAAATGATGAATAATCCTTCCAGTGTTATCATGTGCTATTATTGACTAATGGGGGGGTTGGGTGCTGTACCCAGGTGTGTACATTTATCCATGGAGGCAACAAGGAAAGGTGCTTCAATTATGTTTCCAAGGTTAGCATCAGGACAGTGAGATTCCAAAAAGCAATTGGTTTGATGTTCCTTTTGCCATTCATTCCCTCCCCATCTCCTCCAAACTGTAAATGAATCAGTAGCTGAAAGCACTGGTTTGTGATACCTCTGTGGTAACTCCCCCAGACTCCCCAAAGACAGCTGAAAAGCAAACGGTGCTCAGGATCTCAGAACTTCCACTGCTCTTCCTCTTACAATACAAAAAGAGAGAGAAGGTATAAAGGACCATAGGAGAAAAATGGGAGCAATGACCAATCTCATCCCATCTCCTCCTAAAAACAAAACCACACATACACATAATGACTTTGATGATACACCTAATCAGGGCTGTCCTAAATTTAAAAGTGTTTGAAATTATCTGCTATATTTCACATTCTGAAATGTAATTTTCCACACTTTATAGTTCAGAGAAACAATCTTGCCTTTGGCTGCAAACATCATTTATTACTATTAATATTTGGAGAGCTCCCAAAAGGTCCTGTCAGAATCAAGATCCCTATTAAACTAGGCAATTTAGGAACACAAAAGGACCCACAGTCTCTACCCTCTTACTCTGTAAGACAAGTAACATACAAAGGGGAACACAAGCTGTTTCAACTCACATTTGCAACTCTTAAGATTAGAAATAATGCAGCTTTCCTTCAAACCGCTGACTTCCTTCACGAAACACCATTCCATGGTAACAAGAATACTCAGAAGTCTTTGAGACAGAGGAATTATGAAAATGTCATCATTTTAAGAAAGGGACACTGTCAACTGGATAAACTTTGATAACAGTGTGGGTAGACAGAATCAATCTAATCCACTTATTACACTCTGAAGATTTGTATCTGCTCCAAAGCTACTGCATCTACTACCTTGCACACTCATGGAGACCTATGTATTAAGTTGGGATGGTAGAAGTTGATATTAACTATGCACAGATCTAAGTAACTGCAAAGGCTGTGAAGAATTATGCCCTGTTATTTTTTTACAGTATACTTAAAACCCTATTATGAGCCTAAATATATTGCCCTACTGAAAAATTTCCTCTTTAAAGCAAAAATGTAGACAAAACCTTTACTTTTCCATTGCTAAGGAGGCTTATTGCACTAAGCCTTCATGATTAAAAGATCTCCATTTCACAGCTGGGGAAGCTGAGGTACAGAAAATGATTGGTTTGTCCAATGTTACAGAACAAATCTGCAGCAGGGCTAGAAATATAAACCAGTGAATACAGATAAAGGAACACTGTTATTCAGTGGGTTGCTAAGTGAAGATGCGAGGAAGGTAACAAACATTCAAAACAGAAATATCACTTGATTAGTACTCTCTACAAGAGCAAATCACTGCAGTGCTTTGTTACAAAGTCACCGGTCTATGCATCAGGGCAGGACTAGCTTCTAAATGTCCTGATCATACATATTTGTCTTATAAAGTTTCTTAGAGAAAATAAAGTAGGAATTATTTAACTGAATATAATCTTATGCAGTTCACTAGCAGCTATTCATAATTCAATGAACATTAAGGGTTATCCACTACTCCCAGCCCATCATCCCAAAATAAGCATTAGAGCATTTGGAAAATGGAAGCAGAGCACATCCTACAGTGAACGATTCACTGTCTACATTCTGCTCAGGTTCCATGGTTTTCCTCGTACTACACCCCAGAGCGCATTACTGCACTACCTGTGACAAAAACTGCAGGTACTGTCTTCAAGCAGGGAAGTGGTCAGCTGGCCGGTTGTATGGTGTCCAGATAGGTTCTCCAACAAACAATCCCATTGCCTTGACATAGTTTTGGTGAGAGAAAACAAACTGGCAGTAGTATGACAGTTCCTTTGGAAAGAAGTTAATTATAAAGCTAAACTTAATGGTTTCTGTAAAGATGTAAAAATAATCTGCAGTTCTATAGCATCCTTCAGTGCCTTTCTAGATGGTTTAAAAGCCTCATGTGACCTCAATTTGTATTTCCATTGTACTTAAATGCTCTGGAGTAATGTTGCAATGGCACTTAGCAGTTGCAATGGATTCAAATCCAGATTTCTTCTAGAGGAGACCAAATGGGATTTGAGAAATGCAGGAACCTACATTTCAAAGAGCCTCAGTTTATTTGACACATCCATTTTAGACTGCAAGGATCCCTAAACACCAGCCTTTTCCTAACAGACCACAGAATGGCGGCATATAAATTAAACCAACTGACTGAAAATTACCTAGATACCCAGACCTTTTGTTTCTGAGCGTGCTGTGTGATCTAGTCTGATCATCTAGGCATGTAGCTACCATGCAAACTTCATCTCAATCCAGATTAGTTCTGGGGAGACACCAAAGTCATCAGGGGATTTGATAAGCAAGCTCAGACTATACCTAACATGGATCCACCACAATAAATTCTGCTCAGAAACATTGTCCACTGCCCAACTCTGCTCACGGCCCACCTTTTGCACAACAGCCTAGTGGTTAGAATATGTGTCCAGTAAGTGAGAAACCTGGGATTTGGGCCCTCCTCAGCCTGAGTGGATTCAAGTTCACTCACATCTCCCTGCTGTCCCAATCACCAAACAACTGATTAGCCAAGCAAGGCAATTTATGCATCCTAAATTAGACAGTCATTGAATAAAATCAGATATCATCCTGGGAGCAGAGACCAGAAACAGGGTCTTCCCTACCTGATAATGAGTGCCACTCCAATTTCTCTAGCTGCATCTCTGTCTGAACCCATGAGTCCTGCATTCTTGGTGGTCAGTTCTTCAACAGAAGACTTGAAGCAGGCCCCACCTAAATTACACTGTAGCCTGGTGACCAGTGTACTCTCCTACAAGGTGGCAGATATGAGTTTGAATCTACACACACGTTGAATAAGAACTAATGGTCAGGTTTCCAAATACCAGGTCAAATGCACTGATCACTGGGCTTCTACATGACTACTTAGCTCCATCACCCACCAGAGCCAAAAGTCTGATGTTAGAAGAAGGTTCTGGATCTCAGGTGAAAACAAGTGCAGCCCGAGGTGACAGGAGTTCAGACACAACCTGTATTTCCTACTGGGTACCTCTAGGCACCTCCAGCCTCTCTGAAATGCTCTTTGAGGAGTCCTAACCTATACATTGACTGTTAAAGGAGGCTACGTGCCTGACCTGCCAATCTGGATAACCCTATTTGGCCAAGGCATCTAAGCTTTAGGCAATGGAATACCTCAGTGTCGGTGCCTATGGGATCAAATTGGATCTGATCAATGGTATGCTCCAGATTTCAGTTCATCCTCAGCAGTCCTGGGAGGCAGACAGAGCATTATCTCCTTCATTAGGTGTGTTCTGAAAACACCTGCTAGATCAAGCCTTGCAGGTGAGATAGAGGAACGCCTATTTTGTGGAACCAGTCATGGTTCAGCCATGCTTGTCATCATCAAAAGCACGGCATTTCTGAGTAATTTAGGCATCTAAGGATCCTAACCTGATCAAAATTGTGGCTCCTATGGAATTTATGGCATCTGAACAAGGTTCAGAGGATGACAAATTTAGACTTATATCCCTAAAGTAAGAGTTATGTGAGAGAGCGACACTTAAGCTCTTTTCCAGTTCTGACCCACACCACCTCCAGTTTTGTCTACACTAGAACAAAGCCCAAATCAGTAGCCAATGTAGCTCACCCAGTCTGTGCGTGCAAAGCAGAGGTTTATGCCAAAGGAGTAAACCTTTTCTTCTTTTATATGCAGAGCACCACTACTACTAGGCCAACTACTGATTCAAGGTTATGCTCATTCTTGGACCTTTTCCCCACCTTTGCAGGGTGGAAACAACTTCACATATACATGCAGAGTCCTAAATCACAAGAAGATGTGATTTCCACAGAGGGCAGGGCCATGCCCCAACCTTATAATCCCGATTATTCCCCAAACCTCCTCTCAGGTCAAAGATCAACAAGCAGGTCATTGCAGAGACAGGAAGTAACACAGATTATGTGAATATAAGGTTTACTTCTAGTCACTACACAATGTTCCCCACATTACAGTGAGCCCGGGGCTCCTAACTGACACCTGCAGTAGACATGGGTATGTTCGACTATCTGCTGATGAGATGGATCTGGATGGCTGACAGAAATCCAAGGCTCAGATTCAGTAAATCGGTTCCTCATATTTCTGGTGTAATATAGTTTGATGCTGAACTTCAAATCCTAATATACTTGGTCACTAATCTGGAGTATAAATCTGGACACTTGTTTGTTAAAGCAGCTTTATGGGAATGTAAGATATAAAGTTACACACAAACATTTTCATCCAGTATAAATCGGTGATATATGCTGGCAGGAAGAGTTATGTCTCCCTTTTCCATGAAAATCCCAATCCACTTGTCATCTTTGTCTCAAACATCAGAGTTGCCACTTCTTTTAAGGATGCAGTGACTGTTCATCCAGGTGTAAATGTTCTTCATAAAATATTTTTATCTAGGTTAGAAAGAAAGAAGATTCTTTTTTTTTTAATTTGCTGCAAGGAGAAATAAGGGTAAGTATGGTAATCCTACCAGTGCCTGTGAGATTTTTCAAAGGAGTCCAGAAAGATATAAAACACTTTTAAAAAGTATTATTGGTACAGTAACTAATGCACTAAACTATGTTAACTGAATAGAAAAAAACAAGCCAGGTATAGCAGGAAATCATCCATCAAGAGCTGGATATTTATCTTGGATGCACACAAAAAAGATACAGAAAGATTTCCTGCATGTTTCACAGGAAGAAGTAGCTTTGGCACCTACAGTATCTAATCTGTTGGATGGTCTTGAAAGCAATAGAAGTAATTATTGCCAAATGGGTTGCCTGATGTAGTGCTTCATATTACCAACAAGAGACATAACCAAGGATATTTTCTGTCACTATACAGACCTCTCTAGGCAATTTATGAGCAATAATACTGGGCTTTGAAGGGGCTCCTATCCAATCCAGCTTGTCAGGAGGTTAAAAAAAACCCTGGAATGAATGCAGCGGGTCAGAAAGTGATAAATGAATGAGTTCCTCAAGGCTTCAAGACGGATATTGAAAAACCCACTTCTCAGTTCAAGCTGGAATGGTGCGTCAATGTACTTAGCTGATGAGGAAGGACTTTCATTCTGAAATGCTTAACTGAGAACTTGACAGTATTCGTACTGATCTGTTTTAAAGCAATCAGGATATTAGTCCCCAAATTAAAGTATTTCTCATTTGGGGAACTGCAAACATCCCTCAAACTCCTCAAGTGTTTAGCACATTTCAGCCTTAAAAAAAACCTAACTGGAGGGAAAAAAACTAATTAAAAACTAAATACATTTTGTACGCAGATAATCCCTTATGTACACTTAGCTCTAGGGGTGTTTCAACTTTCAAAACTACAAAATGAGCATGCTCACACATTACTTCATATGTATGGGAGGTCACAAATCTCCTTCAAAATGAATTTGGCAAAGTTCCAGTTCCCTTTGATGGTGATTATATTAAAATATTTTTGTCACTTAAAATCAATCACCTTGACAACCAAGCCAAGAGAAGGAAGAGTAGCCTCCTTTTCTCTGGGAACAACAAGAAATTACTTAAGATACGACCACGTGATTTGTTACTTTCAGTTAAAATTATTGTTATGTATCAGCACAGCAATGACCAAGACTAAGCTTGCTGTTATGAAGTTCACTGGGCAAAGTTTTTACCAAAGTCCCCAGCTGGCAATGATCTGACCTTCATTTGGATGATATTCTCACAGTGTTTGCTAGTATTTGTAGGGCTGTGTACATGCCTTAGTCTCAACATGACAGACAAGAACCACTGTTGTATGAGAACTATTCTAAAGGGTATCAGGCATAAGCTACTAAAGGGAAAGTGGCTACAACCCTCTTCCCCATGCCCCAAAATCCTTTCTAGTTTTAACCCTGGAATCAAATCTGTCATTCTATTAAATGCAGAACATAATTAAAAAAAAGGGGGGGGGAACATTCAATCTTTGAAGGTTGGGATCTACATGCACACTTCAAAAAACACTGTACGCTTTAATGGCAGACTTCATAACTTATGTCTTCCACAATCCAATCTACACCCTAATTTGCGCATGTGTGAACAACATTTCTAGATATATAGAAGCTACTAACAAGTACAGCAGGGTTATTGATGGTTATCATGTTGTCTACCAGAAAAAAAAAAGATTGTCACTTCACTCTAAGACCAGGACTGGGCTGAAGCAGTCCTGTCCCGCCACCCGGTCCTGTCTTCAGGATGGGAGGGTAGAAGGGGGAGGAGGGAGCTCCACTGCAGTTTGCCCAACCTGCTCTGGAGGATGGGGCCAGGTGGATTGGTGGCCCCCAGAGGTAGGGGCTCCAGTCTACTCATCCCCACTTCCAGCACAGGCTGGGAAAACCATGGGCTGAGCTCCTGGCATCCCCTCCATCCTGAAGACAGCATCAAAGCTGGGAGGGGAGGGGAGGGTGTCAGGGATAGGATAGAGAGGCTGCAGACACTCAGCCAACTCCAAAGTGGAGCTTAAACCCTCCCCTCCTCCCTACCCCCCTGCCCCCAACCCAACAAAGAATGTTTGTTAGGCCGGGAGGATTGCTGTAACTCATGGCGCTTCCTGTAAAGCATCCTGAGTTACAGCAGGGAGTCACAGGTCTGTCAGCGCCCACAAAGTCTTGTTTCTTATTTCAGAGACAGATATCCTGCGTTACAGCTAATTATATCCTGTCCTCCTTCACGAGGAAAACAACTGGGAGTCCCTTCTGAGCAGGGATCCTGGTTTTCTCTGTTAAAAAAATCCATAATTCTCTGATTAAATACCCCAAACTCCACATTTTTCTGCAACTGAAATGAAACACCACTATATATATAGGTATCAGTTGAGCATAATGTTTTATTTATATATTTACAATGTTAATGCGATTTGGAAGACTACCAGTGCTTCAATCATTAGGATGTATTTTATTATAAATACCTATACATTTTGGTGTTTTATTTTGGTTTTTTTATCATGGAAAATCAGAGCTCCTGCTGCCCCCTTGTTTCACCAGGACATGGGTCTAGCTGTGGCTGTCCCCTCACTGCTTTGTGGCACTGAGCAGCCCTGATATCCTGGTGCCCCTCACTCCCAAGCCACAGCCCTCACCATCCCTGTCAGCAAGACCCCCATCCCTCTGCCCTGCCAGCATGAACTGCAGAGCTGGTCTTAGGGTAGGCAGCAAGGGCAACTGCCCAGAGTGCCGAGGTGGTGGATGAGGCATCATTGCCCTGCAACTGAGGGTACTGAAGTGGGGAAAGAGGTGTCATGGCAACCCAGAGCAGGGCCCCATCTCAGTTTGGTGGGGGCAGAGGAGGAAGCAGTAAGTTGGGGGTGCCCCTCATTCCCAAACCACCGGCCCTGACCCTCCAGCCCTGTGAGAGGGGGCCTCAAGCTGCCCCCAACCCCCAGTGTGTGGAGCAGAGGATAGGTGTGTGGGGAAGCAGGGGTGTGGGACAGGGCTGGTCTGGGCTCACCAGAGCTTGACCCTTATGACCCAGACCAGCCCTGCACCACTGGGGCTGTGCACAAAGCTCTGGTGTTGCCCCAAGAACCAGGGGGTATCTGGTTCTCCTCCCAAATGGAGAGGGAGCACAGCGCAATTGATATTACCTTAAAGTATGCTTCAGTCTTCTCTAATCGAGAACCCATTTATTTTTTATCTTCTCTAAACAAGAACCCAGTTATCTATTTATCTACTCCAAACAAGAACCCAGTTATCTCTTTAATAAATCAGTTTTATTGAGCACTATAAAGTATTAACTCCAAGCATGTGTATAGATGTAATCTTAGCAGTTTCAGTAATCTTAGCCAGATACAATTTTAGCAAGCTGGTAATTGTATATTACCAGTCCTAATAATACGTGACTCAGGAGCTGGCCAAGCTTCCAAAGCAGGCAAAGTTACTTGAAAAGAAAGATCAGATGTCTTCAGTTCTCAGGCATTGTCAGGGTGGGGAAAAAGAGGAATTTCTTTTGTTTCATAGTCTGTAGGGTCGGAAGGGACCTAAGCAGATCATTGAGTCCGACCCCCTACCATGGCAGGAAAGAGTACTGGGGTCAACCAACCCCAGCAAGTAGTATTACATATGGTCCTCTAGTCACATAGCTACCATTTAGGCAGTTTTTTTGTTTTTCATCAACAACCTGAATTATGTCTCCCCTTTATCGCTGTTTCTTTCCTCTCTCCTTGGAACCAGGAGCCATCTGCACCAGTTATGGCTGGAATGTGCCATGACAAACCCATTTATTAATAACAAGCCTCTATCATCAGACTGTTGCAAAAAACAAGCTGCATCAGACTCATTTCTCTGTAGGGAGCAGGTCATACAATCGCATAACTCCATGAATGCACTCTTAGCCTACTTACGTTAAGGCTGCTCTAGGCCTTGCAGGCCTAAGGGACCATATCAATCCTGTCAAGCATCAAAAGGCTGTACTGTCTCCACACTGGTATCCCCAGACTGCCCCTGTGCCATCTGGGGGCCTCCAATGGTGCAGAACCTGTTTGGGCTTGCCAGAGCTTGGCCCAGATGGTGCAGGAACAGTCCCCAAGCCCTGGCCCTCCAATCCTCCTCACAAGCAATGTTTTGGGGCCTATGGGAGGGCACATGCCCATCCCTCAGAGTTGGGAGCAGCATGGGGGGAGAGGCTGGGGTCCCCATCACCCTGCACCCCCTCCCCATGCCCTCCTTATGGTGGCTGCATGGACACCCTACACCTGCGGGAGCCACAGCCATCTGCCCTGGCCCAGGCCCCAGGCAGTGCCCCAGCTAAGCAGTGCCACCAGCCCCCACTCCTGCCCACTGCTGCCAGATGCCACACCCAGCTAAGCTGCAGCCCTGTGCCCTGCTGTCAGTGCAGAAATCTAGGGGCGAGTGTCCCCCATGTTGGATCACCAGTGGGGCTGGGGCAGGGCAGGGAAGGGTCCAGGATGGCTCGGAAAAGGCAGGAGATGGCACCACAGCCCCTACACCCAGGGTGGGAAGGGTGAGCCAGGCCCAGGGTGGTCTCATCCCTTGAGCTGTTGGTACCTTCCAGGACTGCAGAGTAGCATGCTGACTAGCACAGGTTGGCCTTCCACACCTGGAAGGCAGGGTGGTAGGCAGACCACACAGCGCCATACAGTGTGGGGAGCAGGAAGAAGGCATCTCATAGTAGAGGCAGGCAAATCCTGCAGGTGGTGCTGCTGGTGCTACTGTGCCCCCAACTCTGCCACCCCCACAACCCTGCAGTTCCACGCCTGCTGCTTAAGCTAGGTGGTGTGAGACCTGTGGGACCTACAGGACCTGAGTGCATGTGGGAAGGGAGGGTATGGGTTTGTCTGTGGGGGGGGTGGATAGGTGTGGCAGGGGGGTGAGGGAGCATGTGGGTGTGTGGATATGTGGCATGTAGATCAGTATAGGGGGCTGTGTATAGGGGAGGATGGCTGTGTGTAT